CCTTTCCTGAATACGTCCATTGCGGTCTTAAGGTTGTAGGAAGGGATGGAGATTTTCTCCTTGTTAAGCGGCTAACATACTCTTGCAAGGGTTCGCCCCTTCTTTGGTACACTCAATACAAATCAGCTATAACTTCTCTAATTTCTTACTGCTGGTGAATTGTTCGACAAAGGTGTCAGTCAATTGAGCAAAGGAGTTTATGGTATTATTAGGGTGGTTAGTGTACCACTACAAAGCTGGTCCCGAGAGGCTAGAACTAAAGCTCTTGCACATGCAGGCTTCCTTGAGATACCTTGGTATGGAGGCAGCGAACATCCATTGTTTATATGAGGCTGTGTGGTCGTCTGGGTCAGTGGTCCCATCATATAGCTTCATGTTAGGTATGGTGAATTTGTGTGACATCTTGGCTAAGGCTATCTAATCCACAAAGGGCGAATCTGCGTAGCTATAAGGCAGGCTCTTTTTGGCTGGGGTGGGCTAAAAGATGGAATGCATGGAGAATGATGCATGTGATACTATGACATGTATATTCATATTTTGCAAAAAATTCTAATCAAATTGAAAACAAGTAAGGTATAACTTGTTACATTTAGTCCTTAGCAACCTTGGAGACTTTTAATTTCAAGTGAAATCAAACAAAAGAGTATCCACACTAAGGTAAAAGAAGAATTAGACCAAGAGAGACATTTAGGGTTCTTAGAAATTTTGATCTCTATCTTAAAATTGGTATATCATTTTCTTTATTTATGTAGCCTTTTTAAACAATTCAGTAATTGTTTTGGACTTCCTTAAACAATTCCATAATTGTTTTGGAGTTGTAAATAATTCCATAATTGTTTTGGAGTTGTAAATAATTCCATAATTATTATGAAGATGTTAAACTTCTTTAAATAATAACATTGGATTAACATTTAATCACAATTAATAATTTAACTCTTACATTGTTTGCATAACAATTTAACCCTTAAATTGTTCATATGTTTACAATTAATTACAACCCATTGTTAAATTCAACTTAATATAAAGAAAATGATTAATTATGAATTAGAATTCCATTTAATTCCAATTAGCAATTTAACTCTTAAATTATTCATAATAAATAATATAACCCTCCATTGAATCTAATTCAATGATAATAATATAAATAACTTTATTACCCTTGGTAGGTTTTAGTTAACCTTAGATAATCAACTCTTTTTTACTATTTCTCCATTCTCCTTAGTTTTTATGTGTGACCTCTTAGGTTCACTGTGGTCTATCCGTGAACCCAATATCATAGTCTATTCCAATATATTTTGTCATAACTCTTTATGAACAAAACTCCCACCGATTATGGTAGGCATCTAGCAATGCTCCATAACCCCTAAGTCACAATGAAGATATACTCCAACAAACCATTTTATAATCATACGCGTTGTATAATCAAATCCTTCCGTTGCCTAATCCCAATTAAGAATGGATTCATGGTATGTCAAAATCCTTATCTTAATTTTATATCAAATTGACAATCAATACATATAGAACGTATCACCATGAAACAATCTTTCATATAAAATTTTATATACCCCGACCGGAGATTTCTCTTTTCCAATGTATCTTGACATCTATCTAGGAACTTGATATCAATCTATACCAAGTCAACTGATCCCATCTTGACTATCACTTGTCCTCATACATAAATAACACATGGCCAAATCAGCTTATTAACCCATAACATGATTAGCCTCATGTTTATACACCATATGAACCGTATGCGTTTATGCAAAATCCAATCATGATATCTCAGGTCTAAGGATTAATAATACACTAGTACGATCTTATGATGAATCATTGACTACATTTTAAATGTCCATGTGATTCATCATAAATGGTCATATTCGATAAACAGTTCACTAACCGCGTATCCATGCTCATCATAAATGGCCATATTCGATAAACAGTTCACTAACCGCGTATCCATGCTAATGCCCTAGTGATATAACTTTTATAATCACCCATATTAATACCATCACATGATATTCTACGGAGGCATTTAGCATGCCTACTATGTAATATTATTGCCCAATTAATATTACCTATGTAGGGAATACTTTGATGATTTTGATCTTTTAAAGATTTGTATCATCTGAACATTTCACATGTAATACATATATATAAATGAAGCAATAAATCACATGTGAAATAAGAACATTTTCTTCAATTGATAAGATAAAAATGTATATACAAAATATATACATTAACATATATATACAAAACATAAAGCCTTGGAACCGACAACACGATTGGTTCCTAGGGCATACACTAACATCGGCACTCCTGATATGTGTCTCATCATGGCCTCCATATCGACTAGCTTTTTTGAAAATATTAGCTCGAAAGGGGTACCTGTGGATAATAGTTGTGCATTGACGCTGTAGTTATGTACCTGCAATTCACTAGGTCCTCCAGGACGAGTCGCATCATAAGGTGTGGATTGTAGTTTTGCTCCATAGGGGTTTGGTTGGTATTGAGGTACTTAGTCGCTCCTTCAAGTTGAGTAGGTCCAATGTGACCAAACAGCTGTTTCGACCGGCATGAATGACCAAGGGTGTATGTTGGGGGTGACTCAAGCTAGGGGAGTGAGTTATACCAGGATGGGCTTGTTAGGTGTAAAGTTGTCTGCTCGACCCGTGAGAGTGAGCCGAGCCCAGTGGGGTTCGTAGATACAAGTTATCAGTCATGGTAGCTTGAATAGGGTTACTGATAGTGGCTGATATCTACAACTGCTAGTTTGGGATTGTTTGAGCAATGGGTCAAGTGTGAGTGATGGGTCAGTTGGGAGAGATGTTTGTATGGATGGGTCAATTACGAGCATTGTGTTTAAGGTTGAGCTATCCATTAAGGATGACTGGATATGGGAGGATTGAGGATCTCTGTTTGAGCTTTTGGGGTCAAGGGTTGAAAGGTTATGCATGGAACTTACCAAGACGCGAAAGCAATTCCTTGGCACCTGATCAAGAGTGAAGTCCAGTGAATAAAACTGAGTTACCTGCTCTCTTAGAGTTTGGTTTTCAGCCCAAATGTTGGTGTTCTCGGCTTCCAATGCTATAACTTTATCTGAATTTTGTTGCATCATGGTCGTTAGAGCCTTGATTTTTGCCGAGAGGTTTGTAGGAGCATTATCTGTCGTCTCAGTCATGACTGATTTCCTTGTGGAACAAAATGTTGAAGGAGTATTGATTGCTAAAGGCCCCACGGTGGGCGCCAAACTGTAGACGCTAAAATCTACGATTGCAGAAAGAAAGACGAATCCTATGAGATTGAGGCGACTGACAATCTGTTGCACCGGCACACACAAAGAAACCAACATGAAGCGAACGGAAAACACCGGGGTAGTGTTTGTCATAGGCACTCCGATGCTCAAGTCAGTAAGGATAATAAAGGCTTTTTAGTGAGGGCAAGGGAAAGAAAAGGTTATCAGTAGTTTAGTCAGAAACTAGAATCGCGGTGACGATGTGTAGCTCTCTAGAATGAGAACTAAGGGGTTAGAAGGTGTAATATTGAATGCCTAAACAGAGGAGTGACCCATGTTTAAATAGTAGTTACAGGATCTTTGTAACCTAGTAAGACTTTGAATCCTTAATGGTAGAGGTTGATGAATAGGAAACATCCTAGTTCACTTGCCTTGCTAGTGCTAAGAATCCTAATTCAAGCAAGATACGGAATCTTGGACGAATTAGATAGAACCCAAATAGAAAGAACTTAGCTTGATCTGGGAGAACCAGCCTTAGATGGACTAGCCATGACGCCCATTCTAGAGAGAGGTTGGGATCGGACTACACGTTTTGGCCCATGTTATGAGTTCTGGTGTTAGCCCAATCGGAATTGGGTCACATCCTTGGGCCTATGTAATAGAAAATGTATGTTTGGGTCTAATAAGGCCCAAGGCGGATATTGGCCCATACAGTATACAAAATAATTTTGTTTTTAATTTATGTATTTTATTGATAACTAAGGAAACAAATTTAAAAAAAAAAAAAAAAAAAAATTGGGTTGATGCTTAGGTTTTAGGCTATTTTGATTAAATAAAAAAAAGGTGTTAATGTTAAAAAATAGAATATAAGGGTATACTAAAAATATTTCCAGTTCATTGGGGCACACTCGGCCCTTAGTGGCTTCGTCCCTGTCTACAACAATTATTTTATTACCATAATTTTAAGTTGATAAAAATAAAACATAACAGATTCACCTCTCCAAACTCAACCATGAACTAAAATAATTGGAAATCAACATTTGATCTCTTCTTAATTTAATTCTAAGCTCGACTGCACGTCACGTGTAATACAAGTTCTTAATTCATTAAATTACGACATTTATATATTAATTTGATTCTTTAGGAATTTGTCTAATTGTATATCTAATTATTTGAATGGATAACTATGAGCCAAGTGACTAAATTAAAATATTTGGTTAAATTTTTTTGTAAAAATTTTGCGACCTATAGTATCATATTTTAATAATAAAAGAAAATATTTTGGTATTGTAATTTTCAGTTTTATTCAATTTATTATTAGTTACATGTTATTAGAGCACTATATATTTCATATTCACAAAGTTATTGGAGTAATTATTAAAGCCCTTAATACAATTTAGTTCACCAAAATCAGAAAGCAACACTTCGACCCCTATATCATATGTATCAACATTCAATACCAAAAAATAAGATCAGTTAAAAAATTAAATTAAATAAGTATAATATCATAAATCAAAACACATTCTCTCCAGAAACATTTTCTTTCCAAATACTGCTAAAATTAGTAAGCCAGGTTCCATTAAATCTGTGCTATTTAGTATTTACAAGTTAGCTTGGTTGCCTTACAAAGATTTGTAACTCAACTTCAAAATATGTACACATACCGCCTTGATGCAAAAGAGGGACTCATTTGTCATTTTGTAATTAACTCAAACAATCAATTTTATCCAAAGAATGATATGAACATTCACCTGTTATTTACTATTTTGTAACTAACAGTATCTAGCTATCGCTACTTCCGTCTCAGCAACCCAGAATTCTTCGACGCTTGTATATGTACCCATACCGTTGTGCACTCAAATTGCAGCTATTCATCATGTTTTCTTTTCCAGTAATCCTTTTGGACTTGCGCTTGTAACATAAGCCGGAGTACCTGCTTCTACTATCCGGTTTATCCTTCTGCTTCTGCAGCATCAAGATGATAACTGTAAATTTATAGATCCAGTAAATTAGATAGGAAGCTTCAATATGCACCTAAATAGGCGATCCCCAACATTATACAAAGTTCTAAATATAATTCGATGATTAGATCCATGATCCAATAACCATTGTAATTTGGAACCAAAGCAAAATGACAGATTGAATTACATAGCTATTAAAATAAGATAGGAAGACCATGAAGCCCTAATAGAAGCTTCAATGGGGGTTATGAAAACAAATATCCCCCTACAAAACTGCTTGTTTACTGAAAAAAATCCAAGACCATCTGTTTAATTCGTAATTCGGAATCCAATTAAATACTAATATAATCCTTGAAAAACAATCTAGCAACATGTTTTGAACCTCACGCAATCAGAAACCTCAAACAAGATAAAAGATGTAAAAGAAAAATCTCAGTATCTGGCACATACCGATACAACAGATGTATTTCTGTCGAAATCTCGGGATGTTCCCATGAGACCTACAACAGAGTAAATCAAGAAACATTTATTTTTGAATCAGGAAAAACCCCATTAGAGTAGCACTGGGTTGTTTGCAGTTGTATTAAAGGTTTTGTAGAAGATACCGTTTATGTCCTGGGTAGTACTAGAATTGCTAAGGAATTTCTGCAACATCTTGGTCCCTGGAAAGGCCAAAAATGGATAGCCAAAAAGTTCCCTTCTTTGAGAATGAAGCAATTCTGAAAAGCCAAAGGAGTCTTCCCACGTCTTCTGCAGCTGCAGTATAGACGGCAAGACTAATCTCTCTACACCTAATTGAATAAGAAGCTGCAAATGAAAGAGGATACATAGATTGTATCACTGAATCAACTTTATACTGCTACAACTTTCAGCAACAAAACAGAGCATAAAGACACAAGGAAAACTACCTTTTCCAGCTCATGCAAAAGCAGCCGACACATTCCCTGCCGCCGATACTGAAAAGGAGTAGCAACTAGAGGCATCTCTGCAACCTTGAATCCGTGGATCCTGAAAATCAAAAGTAACATGAAGCCACTGATAGAAAAAATCTACATAGACCTACAAACAGAAAATAAAAGATAACTGCGAAACTTTTCACATTATATTTACCTTACTGTGGCCACAGATACAATTTCATCACCTTTGTGCAGAACCATGGCATAAAATCCACGAAAATCCAATCTTTTGAGTTTTGACCTGCACATGATAAGAGAAAATAAAAATTACGACCATAAACCTAAACTTCAGAATGAATCCAGCAATCAAAAATATCGTTCGAATTACAAGCATCCAACTGAAAAAATATGGACTATCTAGGTAACTTAAAAGGATTTTCAGAATTTCATAATCCCAATTGAGGAACTTCCACAAAAGATTATTTCTATAACCTCAGGAGGATGGTTTAAAATTTGAACCACCATATATTCACAGACGATCAGGTTTATGAACCTTTCCTCCTTGCCACCAAGGTTCCAACCTCACTTTCTACTCTCTTATACCTAATGCAGAACCAATTTCATCATGTGTGGAGGTATTTGGCATAATCCCACAAGCCAACCAGCCAGTTATAATGGGCAAATTCTTGGATAATAAGATTCACAAAGCAATCATTAAAATTAATAGTCTTATCACTAGCACATATCACTAGACTACAAAAGGGTCAACATACTATAATACCCATCTTCCGCCTCCCCTCTCAAACTTATGATGGTGCAGTGGTAAGAAGTATCAAGGTTTGACAAGAAGTGAAACCGCAATATTGTGTATCTCCATTAAGAAGCCAGCCAACAACGTAGTGTAAGGAACAAATGGCAGTAAAAATGTTCCAAGTTGGAGCAGGCAGTGCACAAGGCGGTACTCAATTTTTATATGGATTCTACTCTCCACTCCTACAGAGGAGCTGAGTCCAATATGAATAGCAGTCTTCTTACACATGCAAAAGCAGAAAAACAACCCCAAAGTCCCCAAGCAGCAGTCATCACCAATGTAACTTGACTATATTACCATCTATAGCTCATATTTGGTATCTTCTCTGGATGGAAAGAAATAAAAGAATTTTTGAAGATGTTAATGGAGAAGAGGTTTCCTTGTTGTGGGTTGAAGTTAAGTTCTGGGATTCTATCTTCTCAGAGTTAAGGAAGTATCATTCTTTATTCATTATAATTGGGAAGCTTCAATGTTATAGTTTCAGTGGTATATTGAAGAACAAAGAAAACCTAGTAGTTACTATTCAGTGACATTTATTACAGAATCATTGTTAGAAAAGACAAAACTCAAAGAAAAAAGAGAAAGTAAAACAGAAAAATAAAATCTAATGTAATGTAATATGCTTTGAAGATATTATATAATTCAAAGAACTGCAACTCAATGTGCAATAGTAAGAGAAGAGACAAATGGCTCATGACTGCATTAGCAATATTTGTATACACCAAAGTACCAACAACATTGATTACAAAGTAAAATTAGCCAGAAGAACACCATAAACAAAAGTAATATAATGTATGTTAGGTGTTAGTGCTTAAATATTATGACTTACTCTTGAATCCTCACCCATCAGTTTAAGTCTAATATAATGTATGTTTGGTGTTAGTGCTTAATATTATTACTTACTCTTGAAATCTCACCTATCAGTTTAAGCCTTTGTTCAAAAGGTCTCTAGTATTTTATCAAAACCAAATTGACTACCTGGCCAAGCGTTCAAATCCCTTTATCGTATTAACTACATTATCATAAGTTTGTATTTGTGATTATTTTGCATTTGTGGTTATGATTTTGTTTGACTTGGATCTCAGGGCTGTGGTCAAGTTTACATAATATCGTTAAATCACCTATCAGGCTAAGCTTTTAAGTCAGATAATTTTTTCAACATTAAACTTCTAAAAGTATTGACCAAACAAGAAAAAGTTAACTTTGCTTTGAAGGCTTAAGAAGGAAGGCAATTGGTAGAGAATAACTAATAAGCCATTTCAATACTCAAATAAAAGAGGTTCAACACCTTTCCTCTTGAATTGTTATTGTAGTTGGACGTCAAAAATAAAAATGAAATCAAAGTCATTTCCAATAATGACCATGTCAAATATATAAACATGTACAAAATATATGGTTGTAGTGTAAAAGTATAAAATCCTCATCATCGAAGTGGACGTCCATCAATAAAATTTTGAAACTTAGACTCATCATACTAATAAGTAAAAACAAGCTTCGACGAATCTCTGGTGAAAAAACTACATCAAGAATATACACTTTGTATACATCATATATCCCATGTGTAAGTATCAATTCCAAGTAGCTTCATAAGGAAATTGTTCCCAATCATATATCCAGTTTGCAAGTATCAATTCCAGAAAGCTCCATAAGTGAATTGTTCCCTACTCATATATCCAATAGTATCAATTCCATGCAGCTCCTTCATAAGGGAATTGTTCCCCAAGTAAAAGTTTCTACTTCCAAGTGAAGCTTGGTGATACTCCACAAGTCCTTTTGTTCCTCGTGATGTAGTCGGATGCTCCTGAATGTACAACCCACAATTGAGGAAAAGGAGCTCAAGGGAATTGTTCCCCATCTCAATTTTTAAGCACCAATTCCAAGTTGCTGCACAAGGGAATTGTTCCCCATGTCATTTTTATAAGTATCAATTCCAAGTATCTCCATAAGATAATTGTTCCCCAAGCAAACTTTTATGCTTCCAATTGAAGCTTGGTGATACTCCAATCAAGTCCTTCTAATCCTTGTGACTTAGTCGAATGCTCCTGAATCTACAACCCCCAATTGAGGAAAGGTGTTAATAGGAATTGTTCCCATGTAAACTTTTTGCTTCCAATCAGAGCTTATTAATACTCCACAAAGCCTTTTGTTACACGTGATGTAGTTGGGTGCTCTTGAATCTACAACCCAAAATTGAGGAAAATAAGTACTATTTAACTAGAAACTAAACAATTAGTATGAGAAATTATGTCAATGCGTGCTTTAGCTTAGTGCAATCACAAGCAATGCACCCTAACTTGTGACAGTTATAAAAGAAATCTCAGCCCTACACTATTTCTTACCATATCACTTGCTTCATTTGTGCTAAAAACCAACTCCACTCAATTGGATTAGATCTCCTCCCTAAAACATCTCTACTTCTTTTGCGCTTAGACCCCATGTGTCTAGAGTGAGCTATTCTCAGCAACATCGGCATTGCCCTAAGAAATGGTATGGCTTCTTATAGGTGTCGCACTTCATAGCCGACCCGTATGATTTATCAAAGTAAGGTGACATTAAATTTCTATTTGAGTTAGCCCACCCACATCACAAGCTTAAAAATTCACCAATCACATTAGTATGCATGATGCTTTAGATGGTAAGGCACGCACGCCTTTTAATCTTCAGAATGCCATCTCTCACGAGCCTCAAGGTTACAACAATAGAGTTGCATTACCTTACTTATGCGCAACATCATAGGATCAAGATTCTTAAGAATCTCTTGTTCATTTTGAAGGTATCAGATCTTACAACAACAATATTGAGTTGTATCACCTTCTTCAAACTCATAATCTCTTGCTCATTTTTAAGATATTAGATCTCATGGTGAAAAATGTCATAATTTTCGCCACCCAATTTCTAATCCTTAGAACTAAGAAAATATTATTCAAGATGATGATATTACACAAGTCACAAGTTCGAAAAAGACATTTAAATACAAAACATCTCTTGCACCCAAGTGCTAGTTATTAACATTTAATTTAATTATACACAATAAAAACTAGAATAAAGATATCATCACTTCCCCCTAAATATGAAATTACCATTATCATTATGTTTGTAACATACAGAATCATATAATATCATGATAGTAATTATTCTAAGTATATCATATGCTTTTCTCAAATAAAGAAATCATGTAAACAGGTAATAATATAACATAAAAGTCATGTTGATGTAACCAAACAACAAATTTTATCTAAATAAATATCAGAACGCTAAAATATTATTTTTATTAATTTCATAATTTTCAGAATTTGAAAACAAATTTTCATAAAATAAAAACTATACATGTCTATAATTTTCTATAGCATACTATTGCTGACCAAAAATTTTCTGAATCACAATTAATCATCTTTGATATTCATATAGAAAAATCTTTTCTAATTCCAAAACTAATACTAAAAACTAAAATAGTACCAAACTTTATAGCATGTGGGTGGACACAACATCCAAAACAGAAATTTCTTTATTCTGCAAATGCTCTCACTCGTTAAAGGATGATAAGATTGGGTATGTGAAAACACTATTCACTTATTACATTGAATATCCTCAACGAATGGTTAAAATATAAACATAACTAAAAAAGGCATATTGTTGAAAAGTAGAAAGGAAATATGCTCAAGAAAAAATAATGTTTAGAAACATAACCTTTGGACAATAGGGATCAATACATTGATACGTCGAGTGAATTGGGTCCTTGCTTAATAACTTAAATTTTGGATGAAGAGATTATGTGATATGGTATTTGACCCAAAATCATAAACTAGTATCACCACGTGTCTTGTATCTAAGTTCTATTTCCTCTCTTTGACACTCCCAAGACATCTTGTTCTTTCGCAAAACAAGTTTTAACACAAATTAATAACCCTCCCACCCTATTCAATCAGCTTGTTTCCACCAATCAGTAAAAGTCCTCAAATCAATGCTGGAGTCTAATATTTCCAACTTTGACAGGAACAAAATCCCAAAAAAAGAATTTAGAGGCATGCAGTGTAAGGCAATGGTCAGCAACTGATCCGAGAAGCACAAAACTTTACTTTATCCCACAACAACAAAATCTCTTCTCTGAAAGAATCTTCAACAATTATTTTGGTTCTTTAACCAAAAGAACTCAAAAATTTTCCATGACAACGCAGTCTTAGAGCAAACTAGTCTTCCTTCTTCCTATTACAACTTCAAGTCTTTCAAGAGTAGCCAATAGATGAGTCGAAAACACTACCTAGGAAAATTTGAACTCCTCACAGGCCATTCAGTAATGTTTTTAGTGCTTTTCTTCAAAGAATGATTTCAAAACGAAAACAAAAAATCAAATATTGTATTTCTAAGATTTGAGGATGAGTTCGTTATCATTATATAAAAAACAATATTCTTAAATGAAAATTAAAAAAAAAAAAAAAAATGCATTAGTATCACTGTATTAAAACAATATTCTTAAAATGAAAACAAAGTAACACCTTCGATTGTGTTTTTTGAAAATAACAAAACCATTTTTAATATATATTTATTAGCATTTTTATCACTAAAATAAATGGAGAAGAAAATTGTTAAAAAATGATAAAAAAAAAACACAAAGACCACAGTCTTCTGCATATTTACTTAGAGAAATTAGTCAAAATATTTGTTCTTGTTTCATGGAAATATAGAATTGAAATGGTCACTGAAAATACATTTCACACTTCCCAAGATTTGAAAAAAAAAAAAAAAGGGTTAGAACAAAACAAAAATGAATGGGGCCTTAGTTATATCATTCCTTAAACAATAGCCAATGGGCTAATGTAAAAAAGCAGATGCTTGGTGCCTTCGTAGCTGTTTTAGCATAGGTTGCACCAATTTAGAGACAAAGGAAAGAAGCGTCTTCTCCTTTGAATCATATTGTTTGTGTTTACCTTTTTAAGAGCTACAGTCTGAGCTACTATCTTCACTTTGCTTGGGACTATATCACTCTAGAGGGCTCAAAAAGAGGGATAGTAGGGGATCCAAATCACTATCCCTTCTTTCTTTTCTTCCTACATTCCACCACTTCATTTGCTATCAAGACTGTCATACAAAATCTCTTTCCAAAAGTTTAATGGAGACTAGAAAATTGTATCTATCTTTTAAGATTGCCTTCAACCGAGAGAAAGAACTTTGGCTATAATCATATAAAAGCTTGTGACAAGGCTAATAGGATGATATATAACAGATAGGAAGATAGAATGGTCTATGAGTTTCTCGGTTACTTTCTGTATGTACAGAAAGGCTGCTTTTGTTTATTTGAAGACCTCTGGTTTACTATGGTATCCCAACTTTCTCATCATTTGACGAAATTCTTCAATTTCCTCTAAATTTAAAAGGAGAAAAGAGCATGGACATCTATATTAATTTTACAAGGGGAAAAACTTAGATATTATAATCCTTCATAGAAAATAGTAGACTATTAATATAATATCTATTAATATCTTTGTAAATACGACTCCAAAGTCTAGATAAATAAACCATGCAAAAGTTTTGCAATCATTTTTCAGAGAAACCTTGAAAAGATGCAAGTATTTAACATGATTCATTCATTTAATCTAAGGACACAAGGCAAACCAGTCCTTTCCACTATCAGATAACCTGTATGCTAAAGAAAATGCTCACAAAACTAAATTAGTATAGAAATTCGGAAAGCAAGGCTTACATGGAATTGAAAATGACATCTCGAACAATATCCCTATTGGTATGAGGCTCCTTGACAGGCTCAAAACAGTCATGAATAACCTGGAGAATACTTGACAACTTAATGCAAGAATCAATCCTTGATATACCAAATGGGTTGCAAGCACTTCTCATTGATCTCATCAAGGTCCAAGTCAAGCCATCCACAGCAGTGGGATTTGAGATTCCTAAAAGTCGATGAAGTTGGGCACATAACTGAAAGCAATTTACAATGTCAATTTTTCACAACCCAAAGGATGCCTATTGCCCAAAGATAACAAAACAAACTCTTTAACCCAAAAAAAAATAAAATAAATAAAATAAAAAAATGATGCATAAAAGAGGTTCCAACAAGAATTTACCTCTAAATTGAAACAAATAAGAGACATTTGTTATATGGGTAGGGATATTTGCACTCTCTTTTAAGTACAAACTACCATTTGGTTAAGACTAATAAATATAATCATTATAACTACATTGCATTAAAATTAGGTTGAATAAAAAATCAGTATAAGAAATTAAAATTTTGTAAAAAGATGATTTATTGATGAAAATACTTCCCATAAGTCATATTTCTCATCAATTTTCAATATTTTTTTATTTTAATAGTAGTTATTATGTGATTAAGCATTGAACTATTGACCTTGTATTGACTATATAGGTTAAAGGTGTTCAGTAAAAGTTTCATTTATTAAATACTGTAATATTGATCATACTTTAGTAAGAGGGGAATGGAGATGGTTTTAGGGGGCATATAGCCCCACCCATGCAATATAAAATACTTCAAAACACTTCCACTGTCAGAGAACAAGATTTTCTCTATTAATTAACTTGCAATGTTAGGGTCCATTTTGGTTTAGAATATAAATATAATTGTTGTTTCTGAAAACAAGGGAAATGACAGATTTTAAGAAAATGCAGTTGGTTAAATTTTTTGAAAATCAATTTTCAAATACAATCGCAAAAATTAGTGTAAAATTAGAAAATACAAAAAGGAAAAATTATTTTCTCTATTTTCCATAGTTTTTAACTCTGAAAACTATTTTGAATATTATATAAAAATGCATTTTCAAATCACATATATAAAGATAGAACTAAATATTTGAATTGTAGCATAGTTTTTAAAAGTAATTTTTAAATCAAAAATTCAATGGGCCCTTGAGAAACTGATAGGAAGGGAAGAATTTCCTGGAAGATATGATATTTGTTTCCTTCAAGGACTTGGACATAATAAAACAAAAGTACCTTAAAACAAGCCTCAGTGCAAAAACTGTCTGAAGGGTAATTTGTAGGAGATAGGCTTCCAGCTTTAATCAGGCAAGTCACATGATCTGCAAGGAAACAATGACAAAAGCATAAGTATTTAAGCTGAAAGGGTAACTCTAAACAGTTATTAAGATCAAAACACACATCTACGGGTGCACTGAAAGCACATATTAGTGAACTGTTGATTATCTTCATTGGAATCGCGCAATCCACATAATCCACAGCGACAAGCTGGACAAAACCAATTTCTGCCTGGACAATCCTGAAATAGCCCGAAAATCAATAACCAATTAACAATAATGAACGATAGTTTTGTGATCTTTCAAATGGATCCTTAAACTTTTGTGGACATCTTGTTCACTCTTTGGTAATTACTTCAATCAATTAATGATATTTATACGTTACTTCTCAAACAAAAAAACAAAAAAAAATTGAAGATAAATGCACTTTTGGTTCAAAATAATTTAAAACAAAAATGGGACACAGTTTGTCTATACATGTACAGGATAAGAAAGTTAAGTTTGAAGATTCTAGAACTTATGCTTAGGTTGCCTGAACAATATGATTTATTCATAAGTTTCATATATGATGTTTGCAGCTTCTTCTTTTTACAATGACATACCAAATTACCAATTGTGAATTATGAACTCGATCAAGGCAGAATATTTTGGCAGACTTTCAACAATGCCAGTCATTGATTAAATGAAACATGCTCCAAATATATTAGACATTGGCCATAACCAAGGATGAAAGATCTTGCTCTGTTGCATGTAAAAATTCCAGCAACCGACTACAAGAAGAAGAAGATTTCAAAATTGCATTAAAGCATAGATCTAATAACTAATAAATCACAGCATTATTCTATAGAGAAGCAACGGCACAATAATTACTAAGTTATTTTTTATTTCTAAAATTTTTAAAATCACATCGCATCTATGATCAGATAATTAACACAATGGCACTAATCAAATGAATCTGCATACATGCAACAAATATAATTGACATTGGCCATGACCACAATTGTTTAGTTGCATAGAAAAATTCAGTCAACTATGACTACCAAGAATAAGAACAAGATTTAAAAATTGGATAAATGCATAGATTTAGTGAGTAACAAACCCTAGCATTATTCTATAGAAAAAAAAAGCATGATAAATTACCTAGTTAGTTTTCAGTTCTAAAACTTTTAAAATCAAGTAACATAAAACCGGTTCATTACATTCAAGTAATGATTACAGATTTTCAATTGTAATTAGATTAGCCGAATAATGAATACAAAATTATCAAAGGAATCAGATCAATAATATAGAAAATGAAAACACACCTTGAGGTCAAGGCAACTCAAATGATACGAAGAAGGGCAGTGATCACAAAGGATAAGGTCTCCCCAATGGTGGCAAACACTACAGATTGTGTCCCTTAGTTGACCACTACAATATCCTCGCTTCATCTTACGCTTTCTAGAATTAGACACCATATCTTTAAGCCTAAAATTTTTACCATATTTCTCAAATGGCATAGTTGGGCGAGAGGAATTAGAAAATAAAGAATTCCTTGTCCGAACAGCATTCAGCCCTTGCTCTTGAACCTTAGGTGTTAACTTTAGTTTTGAATTGACTTGTTGAGACTTCTTCAACTCCCTCTTTTTCATTATTGAGCAGTTCCTTCTCTTATGAACAACAAAAAAAGATGCCTTCTTGTCCTTCTGCTTCTCCAAACAATCAGTAAAAACCATAACAAGTTTATTGTTAAAACTTCTCTTTCTCAAAGTTCTTCGTCTTTTAACTGATTGATATTTTTGAATGTGATGCAAACACTGAGCAGTTTTCTCCTCTCTTGAACTATCTGAGAGCAACTTATTATGGTCACCTTCACACGCTCCAGCAGAATTTAGCTTCTCTATATTGGATTCTACCTGATCAGGCTTCTTTTGTGTAGGAAAAGAAACACAATTTACTACGTGGTGTAAACATGAACCAGAATTGGAACTTCTATCATAGACACCTTTGCCAACAGTAGTATTCTCTATGAATGAAGGACCAGTTGTCATATCCTTTTCCCTACACAGATTATTAGCCTCAAAACCATTCTGATCAGTTGTATTTGTTATGGACTGTTTCTTATCTTCCGATTTGGAACTTGGTGACTGCTGCTTTTTATTGCATTTACCATGAGAATCTTCTCCTCCTTTTTGACTTGCTCTGGTAACCTTGAATTCATTGTGATTTCTTACCTTAACCAGAGAATCACATAGATGAGAATTTAACACAGCATGCTGAGAATCCTTTGATTTATTTCCTTTCGATTTATTTCCTTTCTTTCTGACTTTATATGACATAGCTTTGCGATTTCTTGCTTGAATTAGAGAATCACATAGAAAAGAATTTGAACTAGCATGTTGGGAATCCTTTGATTTATTTCCCTTCTTTCCCACCAAGTATGACAAGATTTTGCGATAACCTAGATCTCGCCGACTCAATTTAATTGCAATTTCATAAACAACATCCATGAAGTATCTATTCCACACAGAGCGAACACCGCACGGCCACTCTGAAATCATCTTCATAAATCCATAATTTAACCGCAAGGCAGACCAAATCTTCTTTACAAACTTAGACAATGGAACATCTCCTTCAAGATCCCTAGCCAACTGCACTAGTATCCACACACCCCGGTCCTTCCAAACCCCCAAGAACTCATCCCATTCACGAGCTACACGCAACTGACTCACACTGAATTTGCATTCTTCAACCTCATCAGGAAAAAACACACAACGTTCATTTGCATCATGATCACAATCAAAAATAACACCTTCCCACCATGCATCCTCAAACCAAGCATCAACACAAACTCCAAAACCAAATTTCTCACTAGAATCAACTTGTGTCAAGGGAGGTGGAGGTCGAATACGTCCACGATAGGTGGAGGAAACATGGCGGCGGCGATGGAGGCCATCAATTGCCTCAGTGACTGGAATTGACTCAATGAGCTTCTAGTCACCAGTTTCACATAGGAGTTCATCATATTCAACCATACGGCATAAGTCTGAAACCCCAACAACCACACCAGGATGCCATGAGCCCCTTAACCCTTCCTCAAATTGTCGAACCTAAACAAATCCAACTCACCAATTAAAAAAAAAATCAACTCAGATACTACAAACCCAGATAGCTCTCAATTCATAAAACAAAATAATTAAGCAATTGTCTAACATTAACAGATACCCAGATGATAAAATTACTGTTTCGGTGCGTGAAGGAGAAACAAATACAATAAAACATATAATTCCAAAAAAATAAAAAAAGAACACTTCAAATTGAAGCAAATTCAACAAAACAAAATTATAAATCAAAACAATGGAATTAACATTTTTATTAAAAGAAATGGAGAGATTGACTCAAATTGCGGAACTAAACCAATCCAACTCAAAGAAATCACAAATTCGACTCAGAAACTGCTAACCCATATAATTTTCACTACATAGGACAATAATATAAAGAATTATCAAACACTAAACATTACCCGGATAACAACATTACTGTTTGAGCGTGTACAAAAATGAAAAACGCAATAAAAAATTAAAAACACGAAATTAAAAATAAAATTCAAATATTTCATTACAAATCAACACAACATATAACACACCGATAAAATCTATCAAATGCATACAGAAAAAATACAAATTGCATCAAATTACACCCAAGAAAACCAAAAATAAAATAAAACTTGAACCAACATAAACTTGAATTTATTAAAAAATAAATAAAAATACCTCGACTCTTTGGTGAAGAAGAAGCTTTCTCTGGTTCATCGATACAGAAATTCAAAATTTGAAATGGATTTTGTTTTAATTTTGTAATTCGTTTAAGAGGCAAACCAGAAGGATGGACAGTGACTGTTCTCTGTTTCGTTTCTTGGAATTTGGAATTAAATAATAATAATAATCGTTGCTTTGCGTGTGCAATAATGGGCTATAATCTCATGCTACTGAATGTATGATATGATGTTATGTACTCCTTTGAGAATTGAGATTTGGTGGGGGCCCTTCAGAGAGGATGGACCACCTGTCAATTTGTGGGCCGTACTTGGACCCTTACCGGGTCGGAGGGTTTCCATTCGGGTTCCGGTCAAGTTGCGATTTTTATTTTTGGAACTTTTTAGGGTTGGTTTGTTATCGTAGTTAAGAGATTTTTATTTGAATTTATAATATTAACTAGTTTAAGCCCGTGCATTTGCGCGGGTTGCTTTTGAAATTGGATTTGGTCATATTATATTTTGGATTGTTTATTTGCTTATGAATTTTACGTGAAAAAACAATATTTTATTGCAAGCATTTTTTGATATATTGGATAAAAGATTTTTCATATTCTATTAATGAATAATATTTTATTTTAATTACATATTAATTTTATGTGAAAAAATAATATTTTATTGTATGTATTTTTTGATATACTAGATAATAGAATTAATAATAGTAATTTCTTTCATTATTACACATATATATATATATATGCTTAGTAATTAATCCAATTTGCTAAAATTAATTATAGTGGATATATATTGTCAAATATATTTAATTCAAAAGACCGGATAGTTAATGCTCTTTTAGTTGTTGGGTCGGATTTTATTTCAACTTTTTTACTGTTGTATGAATTGTTTGGCCAGGTTTTATTTCAAATTTGTTTACTATTTACTTAGGGTATTCTTCAGTACATTGTCATTGTCTCTACCTCTCCGTCTTGTATCTATTTTTGTTTTTTTTTCGATTTCTTCCACTACTATTTTTTGTTTGTTTAAAGCTTCAGCAATATCTAAACAATATTTTGTAAGAATGTAAGTAATATTTATTTCGTCCCTTTTTCTTTTTTTGTTTGTAACTCTTTGTTTTCGTTCTTTTTTTATTGTTTGATTTGTTTATCTGTGGTTTATATTATATTGTGTAGCTTTGTTTGATATACATTAGATAATGACAGTGAGGATTAAATATTTGTTTGAGCTTTTATAGTTTTGCAAGATTGATTTTTGAAATTTGATTGTAGCATGGAGATGTGAATAAAGGGTTGAAGAAAGTGAAGCGTTATTTGGTTTTTTTTTTTATTGTTTGACTTATTGTATTGTTGTTCATATTATATTGTAAAGTTGTGTTTGATATGCAGCAGGTAAAGAGAGTGATGATTAAGTATATGCTTGGGCTTTTATAGTTTTGCAAGATTGATTTTATATTTGGCTTTTGTTTTTGTTCTGGTATTGTTAATAGCATGCCAACCTCAAATCAAGCGTCGAAGAAAGGAAAGCACCCTATTAATGTTAATCCTAAACGCTCTGTTCGTTTTCAAGAAACAGATCTTGAAAAGCGAAATGAAGATATTCAGTGTCTTATTAATTCTATTGTTTATAGTGAAAGTGAAGAAGAATATCAACGACCAGGATATGTGATTACGAAGAGTTCTCAGTCAAATAGGAAAAACAAAACTCTAGAACAAAAAAATTGATTACTTGATTGAACTGGTAGAAAGTAAACAAAGCAAGCTTACTTCTCTTGATAATTCTTGTACCTGTCAATTCAAATATCGAAGTTTATACTTAGTTCGCAGAAAGAGGTATTATCAGCATAATTGTAAAAGTATTGTTTTTTATAAGAATTTTCATTATTGTATTGATTTAATTGTTTTATTTATTTTTTATTTGATGTTGTTTTGTTAAACTGATTGAAATTTTAACTCAGGAGAACCATAAACTTGCTTTAAAGCTGGAAAACTCGCTTGGTAAACTTGAAGTGGTATATTTGTTATGGCTTTTATATTTGTCTGATTTATTGAATTGTTTTTATTCATGATTCATGTTTTTAATTAGTGTTGTTTGGAAGGTGTTTTTGCATAATATATATGTGTTTGTTTATATTATAGAACAATTTTATTCTAATAAAATTTTTTATATTTTTGGATAAATAACTTACAAATATTTAATTTTATTGTAGCATGAGAAACATGTTGAATCATATTCTGGATCTGTGGAGAAATGGAAGGATATGTTTTTTAGTTCAAATCTTTCAAAATATGCTGAAAAGGTAGTGGATATACCATGTCAATCAAAACCGAGGAAAAAGTATGGTCGCAAATCCAAAAATTCAACTATTCGGCAGAAGGAATTGGATATATAAGTAATGTGTAATTAGTTTTTGTGAAACTTTGTTGCTTTTTATAAATTGTAGTATTAAATATGATATTTACATTAGATATAGGGCCCGCACGTTGCGCGGGTATGTTTATTTAATATTTTTGGAATAGGTTGTAAGAATAACTTTTATATATGTACAAGTTTTAGAGTAAATATAACGTTTATATATGTACAGAGTTGTTTTAACATAAAATTAGTAATTATACTTTTATAATTATTAATATCAATTAATATTATGAAAATCAATTATTTGAACTTAAGATTTATATTGAGATCATTTTCAAGTTTGATATTGATTGTTTTTCTCACAGTATAGGATTCTTTCCAAGCTAAGGTTTGAAAACAGACTAACTTCCATCTTTATACATTTTTTCTTGAAAATGGTTAGATTTTTGGAATGTCTATGTAATGTACTTATATAATTATTGTTAGTACTCATCCAATGTGTGAAGATGGAAGAATAAAATCAACACCAAAATCAAGATAAAATCAAATATAGAGAATAATACTTTTATTATAAAAGAAATAAGTACATCGATTTTTTATATTGTGAAGTGGATTTGGACAATATAGACTTTATTTTCTATTTTTCTTATAGTTGTTCAAGTGCATATGCATACTCTCTTTTGTTTAGGTTATAAATAACATCCTGGCAGATTCCATGATTTGTAACAATTGGTCAATGACTTCTACGAATTTGTCTCTTGCAGTATGTAGATCATCCAGATTGGTCTCAACTTTTTTGAAAATCTCCCTCAATTTCGGCATTCCCCAAAAAATGTATAAACCAATTGCAGGAACAATATACAATCAATTTTTATAAATATATGGAAACGGTAACATGAATGTGTAAATATAATTATCAGATGAACTCTCGACATATCAAAAAAAAAAAAAAAAAATTGTGGTTTTTATATTCCTGCAAATATGTATCATGGTTTTGTTTGCGATTTTGTAATTTAGAATACAAAAGATGTGGAATGTTTATACCTTCTAGTTGCCTCAGTGGAGAATTATTGTTGTTGAGGTTGTTACTAGTATTCATTGCAGATTCTTCTGGTCATGATGTTTTGTCAGCCATTTTCGAATTAAGTTTTGGAGAAGAAATGAACAATTACAGTGTATAGTATCTGAAGAAAGTTAAATGGGTGATTGATGTCATAGCAATATTTATAGGAGAATAGGATACGAAAAGGTGGAATATGAACGAACATCTGGTGATAAATAAACTTGTCAATCGAAAAAGGGTTAATAATTGTTTAGAAAAGGTAATACGAAACGTTAGTAAACTATCTATATAATATTAAAGAAAATCATAATAAATATTTTACTAAATGTGTAGCATATTAGTTAGGTAGCTAATAATGGTTCGGCAAGATGTTGAGTTATTATGATAAATAAACAATGTGATTTACTAATAATAAAATCTTATTGATACATTTTCAAAGGATGGACTATAAATATTTTGTCAAGTATCAAAATAATATTTATAGGAGTACAGTATATGAAGAGGTGGAATATGAACAGACATCTGGTAATAAATAAATGTGTCGATCGAGAAAGTGTTAATAATAATTTGGATAAGGTAATACGAAACGTTAGTAGAGTATCTGTACAATATTAAAGAAAATCGTAATAAATATTTTGTTAAGTGCGCAGCATATTAGTTATGATGATGGCCAAAATATTTATTAATTTTTTAATTGTGGTTCGATAATATGGTTATGAAACATGCATATAGTGTAAGTAACTGACCGGATTCGCATAGCAAAAAAACATAATATTTAAAACGAATCGATCAATTACACGAACCAAGATCCTAGTACAGATTATAACGTTTTCATGTATAAACTAAAAACGTAAAATAAAAATCTATGTAAAAACAAATCCATACAAGGATTTAGTTCATACCGACGTTTGGAGGCTCCTCCGAATATCTCTAACTTTGCTCACGAACACTGTTCGCCAGCCACTGTTCATCGAATACTGTTCACCGGATACTATTAACTAATCGATCCAATGTAGAATTGCACTCACGGAAATCCACATGAAGATAATCCGAAGAACCGACAATTGTTTTGCTAGAACAATTGTCGGCATCAAGTATCAAGAACAATCAAAAGGAAAAATTTCCTTGCACTCAAGGAGCGAAAACGTGAGAGAGAGAGAGAGAGAGAGAGAGAGAGAGAGAGAGAGACAAGGTGGCTAGGGTTTTTAATTGAGTGAATATCACACTTGTTTTAATTTTAAGTTGTACTTATATAGTGCAACAATTAAAACCCTATTCCATTTAGGAATAGCCATGGGCTCCAACCCTGGTTCACCTTTGCAACCAAACATCATGTAATTGGTATTTTAAATTAATTAATTATTATTATAATTAAAATCAATTAATATATAATAATATATTAACATTTAATTAATAATAATAATTCATTTAAATATATGCATAGATATATTTAAATTTAATCTCACTAATTTAATTTTAATATCAAATTAAATAAATGCAACAACCTAAGCAAATTTAATTGCATTGGGAGATTACCAAAATACCCTTTCATCCTGAAAGACGAAAATACCCTTCTCACAAATTGATTCTTAAATTATACTCTAAGTGTGTGACCCGTAGGCTTCTCATCATATTGACAGTGTGTAGTATCGCGATTAACACCAATCAATCGTCTCACTACATACAGACCAAGATTGGCCCCTAACAAGGCATCATGACCACCCGA